AGTGTCCTGGAGACCTGGGGGAAGGAGAGGGTGCCGCATGCACCTTGGAATTCTTATCTACAGCATTTTGACCCCACTGCAGCTAATGCCAGTCCCCAGCTACCGCCAAGGGCAATTCGTCATAACTGCTGCACCCAGGTGTGTAGACGCGAGCTGCCGCTCAGGTGCATAATTTACGATTTCTTCACACGCTACTCCCCATTACTGTGAAAATTCACTTATGCGCGCATTTAGTGCCAATGAATTGAACTACGTAATGCTTCAACTCTCCGCTGCGGGCTGCGCCGCGGGAAGGCTCCGTAGGCACCACGGTTTCGGCAGGAGATGTTTTACCTCAGTCATGCCACCTAAAGTATCAGGAGGACTCAAGTGTAATGCTTTCTCTGCAATGAACACTCTAGAACACGACTTCGTCTACTAGACAGNTCAGGAGGACTCAAGTGTAATGCTTTCTCTGCAATGAACACTCTAGAACACGACTTCGTCTACTAGACAGCACGCAACCCTGTGTGGCAAACGGCCAGACGCTGCACAGTTTGCGACGCCCAGAGGTATCCGACAACTTCCAGGTTTCTACGCGGTTGCCGGTAGAGGGCCAAAAAACAGATAATGACATATAGCCCTTCGCTTTACGATCCTGCTTGTTGCTTAGCTATATTTTCCTGAATTCCACAGAGTAGCTGCGTTGGGCCATTATAAGTCCATGCGGGGGTCGATGCCAGTGGATTGTCTGGAGCGGTACGCCTGCTTTAATGCATCTCCAAAAAATAGCTAAATAGCATATGCTTTGTACATAAAAATTGAAGCAACGACTTTCGATGCAACGGTATGAAACGAACACACGATTGCGGGATACACCAGTGGGTCCACCGATCACCAAAACAGGGGATCGAAGATGACTGGAGTAAACGGTCCCAATTTTCTTCTTGGCTTGCTTCATAGCATTCACTTATATGCTTAGGCTGCTTCATAACATTCACTAAGGGAAGATAAGAAATTGAAGCAGTTTCCGGGAGGTCCAGACATAACAGCCGAAACCTTCCGTATAGTTTGTCGCGGGATCCTGCATCCGCACTGCATGCAGTCATTGAAAACATGGCGTGAAGTGCATCAAAAAAATGAATACATTGTAGAGACAAGGAAACATTGTTGCCTTTGCTGCCCAGACATCAATTATACTTCGACGCTCACCGATACATCTCTTGCGGAATGCCATATTACTGCCCCCCACAATGACCCAAACACACCATCCAGTCGAAGCGGATCAACAACGACAGTCCTTCATTTCAGCATCCCGCCTCGCAAATACTGCGTTTCAAGCCGTTGGCCCTGTTTCGCCGGCGCACTCACGCCAGCTTGGACGTGGGCGTGGACACAACATACTGCGACGGCGGGGGCCGCATCGGGGAAAGTTTTTAGCTGGAGCAGTGGCATCCATTGTTTCCCTTGTGACGGTTTTGGCTTTGTTGGCATTGTGTCGGAGCAGCCAACGAAGATTCGATTCCCGAGCAGCAGCGCGACGCAGACTTTCAGATACGGACGATGAAAGCGAGCGTTCCAATATTCTAGAGCAATGTCTGGATTTGGAAGAGGAACTTGGCCGTCGGCCTACTGCTCCAGAACATGCTGATGACGCACGGGAAGCAAAGGATAGGCTCGCCGCCATGCTGTATGAGTCTTCGGCAGCATTTGAAGGGAGGAGGGTGCATGCTTCACGCGGCCTGCGAGGTGAAGTTAAGTTCCCTCCATATAAGGTTCCCCGGCTTAGTGAGCAATGGGCATCTCCGCAATACCCGCAATTTCCTGTTGGCGCATTTTGGCCACACTCTACTGAAGGGGCAATGGGCAGTGCTGCGGACACTTTAGATGCAGGTGCGTGGGATCCGGTATATTCTGAGCTAGTGTTTGGCGGATACGGGGAGCAACAGCATCTTTCACAGCTGGACGAAGTGCCAGGGCTTCAACAGGAAGCCTCGGGTTTCACCACACGTCCACCAGGCGCAGCTGCTGGGCTGATCCCCTCTTCTTCTGTTGGCGGGGCACACAGGCGTGAAGCCGCTCTGACTCCGGAGGGCTGGCTCGATGAGCCTTTAGCAAACATGTATCCGCAAGCCCCCCAACAGCTCGCAGTGGGCACTGGATGGAGAAATCGAATGCGGGAAACAGTTTCGACAGCTACCATCGATGCAGGTTATGTAGGAACGTCCAGTGAAGGTGCAGGTAGAATCGGCGCTAGGGTTGCAGGTACAGCCGCTGGCAAGGGTAGGGCGGTGCCTTCCGTTCGGGGGAAAGCAGTGCAACCGCATAAACACCGGACACAAACTGTTGCTGTTAATTTGGATGCAGTAAAGGGGTCTGCGTCTGCTCCGGCTGTGCGGGCAACAAGTCGTGGAGGCACAGGACAAGCTGAGGCACCAGACCTTCGTCAGCATCCTTTTTTTCGGCTGCCAGTGGTAAATCCGAAGGACATCCACAGAACCTTTCGGAAGGAGTATGCCCTTTCAATGTATTATGGTAGGTCTACTCCGATGGAGTCGTACATGACAATGCGCAATTTATTTGCCAAGGCTTCGCTGACGGCAGAAGACGTGGAGCTACTCATGACGGAAGCCGAACTATTGGCAAACTATGCAGCAGACAGACTGGGCAGGGAATGCAGAAGATGCACCGCCAACTACCTGGTCCTTAAACTGTCGTCTCTGTTTATGGCATTTGACTACCTTGTATGCACAATTGAGATCCTGGGGAGCAAGATGAATACCGGCACCTGGTGGAAAGAATTCACGCAGAAATTCCGCACGGAATATCTGCTTCCTGAATCAGCACGGACACAAAGAGGAAATACGCTGCACAAGCTGGTTAATCGACTCAGTTCTGCACTGGCAATATATAGGCAACAAAGGCGCCCGGCAGTCGAGGAAGTAGTTGATCTGAAGAGGATCATTCTTACCAATCCGTACAAAGGCAGCCAATTTGCTAACCCTCTCTGGCAGCTGTGGATACTTGACGATGCGGACTTCTTTGGCTCTAACGACGATTTGAAAAGTTCCTCTGACGNTGGCAGCTGTGGATACTTGACGATGCGGACTTCTTTGGCTCTAACGACGATTTGAAAAGTTCCTCTGACGATGAAGAGCCTGGTCGCGGAGAAACAAAAGAACCGTGACCCATTCATCTAAGCATCCGCCCGTTCAATTAAGGATATGCCCTTACGTATGCAGCAGGCTTTAAGTTGTCTGAATGCAGCGGGTTCTCTTAACCAAACGGCTACCAAAGATAGCCAAACCTATGTATGCGTGCTATTCCGTTTGTTTATCTGGCTCATTGGCAACGATTGTTGATGTTCCGAGCACCAGGTGGCGCTTCAAAAAATGAAGCTATGGATTTCAGTCTTCTTCATTGCGCCCTACCCCAGCTGCATGCGGTTTGTTATCACCCAGGCTTTCATGCATGCAGACTGCAGCAATTATTCTGATTTATTAGAGTTATGTAGCGGATAAAGGTATCTGCCTGCGTTGGTTGATATTGGCATTGTTTCAATGCTAATCCGCGCTTGGTGGCAGGTAGCTATAAGCTTTGTGCACNGTTGGTTGATATTGGCATTGTTTCAATGCTAATCCGCGCTTGGTGGCAGGTAGCTATAAGCTTTGTGCACTGAACAGGAGCAACCAGCACAGGCCACCCCAGGTGTGTTCAACTAGTGACGGAACTGCATCTGACCTTTCTTGTTAATGACAGTTCAGTAGATAAGGCACATCCGTAATGCCGGATCGAGAAGCAGGGGTGGCAGCTTCTTGTTATACGGCTTTTGCGGATCTCCTTCCTAAGAAGTACTAATGGGGGCACGCTAAAGAAGCTACGAGAAGTAAATTCGAGCTGCGAAGGGATCTTTGATGTTGATTGTAGGCGTTTCTACGTGGGGAAATGCTACGATGAAGAATCACCTGGCGAGGGAAAAGCCCTTTGGATCGATTAAACTCAAATGTAGGGGCTTGACGGGCAGTGTTCTAGTGGTTTTTCGAGGCTGGAAGTCGGCGTCCTATTGTTCATTAATCGCATCTAGAGACTGCAACTCTGTTTCTTAATTGATGGTGATCTTTTACGTATGATTTTTTACTTATTCGGGATTGTCGGCATGACTGTAATCGGATCAAGGAAAAACGTTATGTAGGGGCAAGACAATCAAGAAGAAGAAATTTATAGTCCCTTGTCCAGTTCGGTAAAGATAGTCAGCAAAATCAAAATCATTTCACTGAACGTTAAGTAGGATTTCATGCATTCACATCAGATACAGTTTGCCTTCAACATGTCTTAAGATTCTATCGAACACGCAGGCTGAGACATTCGTTAAAGAAACACACGAAAAATGCCGAACCGCTAGTTAATGATGATATAGCAGAAGACGCCTTTTGGGCACGCTTTTCTCAATTGAAACTGTTGACTACAGCCTGACCGAATCCTGAGAATCCATACCTGCAGATTGAAATTCGCCTTGCGACGGGATTCAACCAGACGGGGCCCATGGTTACAGAAAGTATATGGATACCCTTAAGCTTTTATAACGCCGATTGTCCCTAATGTTACTGCATGTAATGATTTTGAATAGGCACTAGGTCGAGATCGTTTTTTTAGGTTAGGGCCCGTGTCATTCACTTAAGAACTGCCTACTTGTCGGATAAATAAAACGAGGTCAAGCATCCCAGGAGCAAACGTGAAGGGTCCGATTAAGAAGCATTCACATGAGATGGGTGATGGGAGCGTCTGGCTCGCCCTTTCCTCTTCAGTGGGGGGAGGCCACAATCTTATAACGTTTTATACCGTAAGAATCTGGAGCCAGTATTATCTCCATTCGACTCCCTCCCGTGCATAATTTCGCAATTAAAGGAAGTTAATGGATAAGCCCGTTGCAGGTAATATCAGAGTAGGTTGGCCACGCGTTTTGGTCGGCACAGCACTCCACTGTCCATCTTATATGTACCGCAGGAATGTACTCTTCAATACAGTATTTTTACGTAACAGGATAAGGCTCCTCAGCCAGCTCAGTGCATGTTCGATGGGCTATACTTGGACTGTCCGTAACACCGACATGGGCATGTTTAATGCCTCGAAAGGCAGTGTACAACATCTCTACAGCCGCGGTTACTTGATATGAGGCCACCCGCTTTCCTCTCCCCAATTTTTAAACTATCCCAAAGGTGTCTAAAGCAGCAGATGTGGTTCCATCGAACTACAATAGGTGTTGTGCCGTGTCTGCAGCAGCAACAGCGCTCCTCACTAAATGACACCTCCACGTCTGCGCACATAACAAGACCGTGCAGCAACTGAGCGTCTTGCTGTATATTGACGGGTCTTTTTATGATATAAGGGTGGTGCATGGGCTAGTAGTATGCTGGTACGTGGTGGGAGCAGGACGTACGGAGAATGCTCAGGTGGGGTCGACAATATTTACCCTCTACCCTACTTTAAAAGTCGGGAATGTCACCAAAAAAGTAATGCACGAGTGTAGGTACAAAGGGCGAGTTTAGCAGGGACCACCGCGTAATGAACATACATGGTCTCGGTTCTGCGAGCGCCTGCATTGGGGCAGTTCGAGGACCAACAGCCTTTGAAATTGATCGACTGTCTTGATGCTCATTGAATCTTCTTCTTTTTTGGGCTAATATATGTAGCACGAACTTTCAAAACCACAACTAGAATTTCCCGCTGAAGGGCATTACAAATACCCAATAGAGCGCGTCTCTTTTTGTGTAGTTTGACCAGTGGG